GAAAAGGAACTAAAAAAAACAAATAAGAAAATATTTTCAACAGCTACAAAAAGTTATTATTTTCTTTGCAATAATACCCTAAAAAGATTATTTCCCAAATTACTCATTTATAGACTACATGAAAAAGTAAAAAAATGACCATTTGAAAGAACAAATTATATGAAGCCATAGCACCTGTCAATAACATGTTTTTACTTATTCTTGTGGTTGAAATATCTCACCACTGGTTTGTTGATAATGCCTTGAGGGCCATATTGCTACATGGGAGAGTCAGAAGTGCAAAGATTCCTTTATGCTCATTCCTTTACCCAGCCTTGAAGTTCCAGATGTATTTCCAAGTTTGGCCTAAGTTCTCAAAATTTGTTCTTGGTTGGGGGTAGCGGGGGCCACAGGAGCTGATTTTCACTTACCAAATGTGTTAATATTATAAAGGACTTATAATAGTACCTGGCACCTGCTTAACTTTCAGTATGTTTTTCATGCTTATTTCATACCCGCCAATATGTTCAAATTACCTTTTCAAAAGCACTATATTTAAGCCTAAAAGCAAATATGCATGGAGAAGAAAAATGATATAATGAACCTTGCAGCAAATTCTGGGACTATTTTCATGCATTTGAAATTATAGTTCAGAGCTCAGTCATTTGAATTGTCTGCTAAACAACAGTAGCCATGCCTGGGCTGGGTAGGTGCAAGCTAGTTGGGATCGGGCACAGGTAGAATCTTCATTAGTGCATTGTTCTGGCTGTGTGTGTGCTCTCTCTTCCTTCCATAATCTTCACCTCCTCCTGGAGGTGGGAGTTGGCCATCCTCCCACCAGATGCTGAGAGGCAGCCTGACATGATGGGTTTGGAAAAATTCCTGACTTTGAATCTGGCCCCAGCATTGCCTCCTCAAACCTCCTTTTCTCTATTTGTGAAGATGAAATTAATAACCAGTCATACTTTGAAATCTCTTGAGGATGAGTGCTAATTAATATCAAAGTAATGGCATAGGTATGCTCTGATCTTGATGAGAGAAAAAACTCTTCTAAGTAGGTAACTGATTAATGTCAGCCATAGTGCATATAAATACTATGAAGACTTGCTATCACATACAGTTCAGCGGTGCTCTGTACATCACAGTATATGGTCTGTGCCCTGTAGTCTATAGTCCATATTTTTAAAATATGACTACCATACAGCTTTGCACTTGTTTAGAATCCAACATGTATTTTTTAACTGAATAGAACTGATGACAATAAAAGATGCTCCCAAAAGAATGGTAGTAATACACTCCTAAAACTTTCATGTCTCATTACTATTCAAACAATAATTTTTAACATTGCTGAGTTATCTGAGTTCATATGGGAAGATTTTTTAAAAGTCTACCAATAAACCCCAAAGGTCTTGTAGAAAAGAAATGAGTTTCCTGACCTACTCTGGGTACTTTTCATCCCTATGGAGCGATATTTTATTTTCTGTTGTTTGGCTCATGTAGGCACATCATGCCAGGTTGTGCAGCTCACAAGGGCTTCACATCTATGGAGCATTATTTACATCTAAACACATTTAGTATTTTGATTTTCATATTTATTCTACCTTCAGGCCTGCAAATAGATTTGTATATTAATTATGACAATTTTGAGCAATGACAGTTAAATATCATGCTCTTAAAAGATCAAAATATTATGGTAATTTTCTGACAAAAGATAGTAAAGTGCCTTGAGGAAGAGACACTTTTTTTCCAAATCACACAAAGACACCATAGAGGCTCGCAGCTGCCCTATCTCCATAATGCCTCACAGTGCTGAGAAGGCAGTAGGATGGTAATAAATACTTGGTGAGTGAACAACTGCATAAACAAATAATTTCAAAGAATATAGGTGTTGTAAAGGATGATAACAATAGAAGGCAGCATTGTGAATAGTCAAGAACGCAGACTCTGGAGTCAAAAACAACTGAGTTCAAGTTCTAGTTCTATGGCTAAATGTCCATGTACCTTGGATGAGCCGATGTAACCATTCTGCATTTTATTTTCATCATTTTTAAAATGGAAAAATAATAGCATTGATTTTACAGGGTTTCTAGGAGGACTAAGTGAGTTAACACACATAAAACACTCCATGCTGTGTCCTGTTCAAAAGAGGTCTAGAGAATCAGTCTCTAGTCCGTGTCCAATAAACTATAGTCTCTCTCTTTTTTTAATGTGCCTAACACATTGTTTCGCAAATTTTAGGAATTCAACACATTTTTGGATTGAAGAGAAATGAGGAGAATAAGAAAATTGTGGAAATACACTCCTAAAACTTTACAATTTTGTTTATAAATGAAGGCAAGTGGTCAGTAAACGCCTTGGCAATGAAGGTGACTGTGGTGAGAAAGGAGGAAGCCGGTGGGAGGAGGGGGTCACCGTGGCTTACAGTCCCTAGGTGATCTGTCGTACCACCCCATTTCCCGTACACATTATACTGACATGTTTCCCTTCACCCCCCTTTGCTGCCTCTCTTCCAGCGATGTTTATCTTCTTGCTGTTCTTTCAAGGTACCAGCACACTCTTGCCTCAGGGCTTCCATTGAAGTTATTCCCTTTACTTTTTCTTCAGATATTTGTTGGAATATCTATTTTTCTCCAAGTCTTTGCTCAAATGTCACTTGCTCAATAAGCACTACCTACATTTGCCCTATATAATGCCACCTGCCTATATAATACCCTATATAATGCCACCTGCCTCATCCTTACCCTCACCCTGCCTACACACACACACACACACACACACACACATACATACACACATCAATTTCCCTTACCCTGCTCTACTGTCCTTTATCTTGGGACATACCACTTTCTAACATAATATGTCATATTTATAGCCTATTATATTTTTTATTTACTCTCTCCCTTCCACCAAGTGCTTTTCCCCACTGCTAGGTTTCTCCAACTAGGGTGAGTTTTTTTGTTGGCTTTATTTGTTGATATAACCCAAGGACTTGGAATCATACCTAACCCACCATAAGTGCTAAGGAAATACAAGTTGTAAGATTTTTCGTTTTTTAAATCCTTCTCTCTCTTGCCATTTTTTTCCTGTTTAAATCCAATAAAAATTTTCATTTTGCATTGATATTATTTTGGCCGTAGGATTTCTATGAAACAATTAACATTCTCTATCTTGGCCTATTTCTAATATGAGCAAAGATCATAAAAAGCTTAGAAGAGCAAGGTGTTATCTTGTTTTATTTCATTATGATCAGCCAAATTTCACGCCCTTCTGAGAAAATCATGAAATATTGAAGTTTGCATCACTTACATTAAAAAAACTCCTGATTCAAATCTTTCTTGGAAACGGTAAATATTTTAAAAATAATTTTTAAGAAATAAGAACAAGTGCACAAGTGGCTTTCCAAGAACCTGATCAACATTCACAATCACCTACATGCATTTCTGATTGTAAAGAAAAAGTGCAATTAATAAATCATGAGTAGAGGATGGGGAAAATATGAGTAGGGGGGGATATATTCCATATGTAAATTCTCAAGTGTGTGCGTGTGTGTGTGTGTGTGTGTGCATGTGTGTGTATATATACACCACTCCACCCATATATTTTGATTTAAAGACTAGAAAATAATTACACCCAGACTGTATATGCTTAATATGCTAAATACTAGCAAAGATTGAGAAATTAACACTTTTTTAGAATGCAAACTTTTTTCTATATCTACATTTAAGCTTTTTCTTATGCCCAACAAATGTAAATTTTATTTCTTTCTACCTAGCTTCAAGTATTAAATTACACATTATCAACTGGAAAATATGATTTATGTAGAGACTTTGTTTGCTGCTATTTCCTAGTAGATATTTCTATTAAGATTTTAGCAAATTTAATTTAAATTTTTTGTAAACTATGAATTTTTCAGTTTAAAAAAGTCTGATACCAACATTCTTTAAACATCAGAAAATCCATATCTTCATACTCACTGTCTGTGTAGTAAATTCTTCAGAGAATTGCTTTTCCTATTTGGGCTTAATTATTTAATTTCTAAATCCAAATGATCAGTGGCTCTTTTATTATGAAAGAAAAATTAATTATTTCGTTATTGCTATTTCTAGAGTATGTCATACAAATCTGTAATTCAGGAAAGCATTTCATTCATTCATTCATTCACCTATTTAATAAATATTTCAAAATCCTTTACTACAAAAGCAAAGCTTGACTTTTCTACTCTAATTTGCAGAAAATCTTTGTTGAGCAGATGCCACATTGCATGCGGTGCTATGATCTGTTGTATTTAGCTGTCAGTATCTATAAACATTTCTCAGTATGACCTATGAAAGGTAAACTCTTTACAATATTTTCTGAAATTATCTCTTCAGAAATGTGACAGAGGAAATGGGCTAATGTCACCCATAGGACTTGAGAAGCATCTAATGAAAATCATTGTAACTCGGCATCTATTTTAAGACATTACACATCAGTTATTATCATGCACTTAGATTATTTTTGCGCCTTATGAGATGTTTTAGAATGGCTTTATTGCTGTTTCTTGATATCCTCCTGGTGTCAGTTCACTATTATTTCCATTTTTAATGGGAATTCTCTGATTATTTAGGGATTAGGACAGTATCATTTAGGGTTTATTACCAACATGTTTTGTTAGAAAGCATTACTTAAAAGAGGAAAAAAGAGAAGTGATAAAGAAAAACTCAATTTATACAACTTGACTTACTTTGTCTTATTAATGACATGCATGACATAAATGGCACTATTTTATACATGCTTTCAGAACTTACAATGTAGACAGAAATACAACAGAATTTTACAGTATAAATTCTATTTTTTTTTACAATTAGGAAACTAAGACTTAACTAGAAAATAAAATTCAATTCTCCTAACTCTGATGCTAATATTTCCTGTTTCTTCATCCTACCAGGAGAAGCTTAATCTCAAAAGATGAACATCTACCAAATTTTTTCTTCCTGTTCTGTGTATTTGCATATGCAAAAAAAATTAGTTATACCCCCCCCATACTTACCTGGCAGGGGAAATACCATGATCACAAAGGTGGTTTTCCCAGGGCGAGGCTTACCCATTGCACTCCGGATGTGCTGACCCCTGTGGTTTCCCCAAATGTGGGAAACTCGGCTATGTCATTTCTGGTAGTGAGGGACTGCGTTCGTGCTTTCCCCTGTAAAAAAAAGAAAAAAAAAAGTTATACCGAAATATACATAGCTATAATACAGAAATCAGAATTTACTGTATGAGAAATAATATAGTTTCTCAATACAACACTCCCTAATCTGAATCTCTCTTGTCAGTACGCAATATCAAAATAAGGGAAGAAGTCACCCATCCCTTTTGTGTGTTCCCAAGGTTCCACCTATCCAAAAGAATGGCTTATATTTGTTCAATGATATTTACAAAATGCTACTGATTGTGTATTAATTCTTCCTCAGGAATAAGAATGTTAAGAATGCAAAACCCAAATCGGTAGATGTGGTTAATAAGTTTAAATTCAAATTAAGGAATAATTATTATAAAAATAGGTAACATTTTCTGAGAGCCTACTAGATGCTAAACATGTTTGTTTATTTTTCATGATCTCCCTTAAAAAAAAAAAACCTATGAGGTCGGTGGTACAGATGGATTGTTGTACAGATGAGGAAAGGGAGGATCAGAGATATTTAATAACTTCCTTAGTGTTTTAGAGCTAGTAAATAGCAAATCTAGAAACAGCCCAGATGTTTCTAATCTCAAAGCAATGATCTTAAGCACTATGTGGTTTTCATAGTCACTGACACAAATCCTTTCAAAATTAAGTCTGATGGGAAGGCCACTGTGTACATAAGGGTTAGGAAAAAGAAAATCTGTTAAAATCAATGTATTAGTTATATTTTGCTGTGTAACAAATTATACCCAAAACTTAGAAGTTTAAGGCAACACATATTTTAGGTCACCATTTCTGTGGGTCAGGAATTTGGGCACAGCTTACCTAGGGCCTCTAGATCAAGTCTGACAAGACTGCATTCCTGGTGACTCCCCAGCTGCGGTCACAGAATTAAGACTGGAGGAGAATCCAGCCCAAGCTCACGCAAATGGTTGTTGACAAGATTCAGTTCCCTGTGGGTTGCTGGACTAAAGGCTTTATTTCCTCACTAGCTGTAGGCTGGAGCCTCCCTCAGTTTCCCACACATGGGCTTCTCCACAGGGCAGCCTGGAGGATGGCAGCGAGCTTCCATCCGGATGAACAAGTAAGAGAGCAACAGGGGGTGGGCAAGACAGGAGCCAGTGTCTTTTTGTGACCTAATGTCAGAGGTGACACACCATTTCATTTGCCATATTTTTTTATTCATAAGAAGCAAGTTACTAGCTCCACCACATACTCTAGGGGAGGGGATTTTTACAAAGATACCAGAAGGGGGTCACTGGCAGCCATCTTAGAAGCTGCCCGCCACAGTAAAGAAAGTATTCTCCCAGGACATTGAGAACTGAAGGCTCACGTGACTGCTCTTTATCTGGCTCTAGCAAAACCCTGAAGCAAATTCCTTCAGTAGCCTCCATCCTAATGCAGGCAGAATTTAACATTATGCAGAGTGAAGCATGACAACCTCCAACATAGCCTGAGAAATAGTAATTCTTCCTAGGAGTCACATAGATCAAAATCCATTTATTTTCGGAACTTGATCTTCATTTGAAATATCAGAAAAGTAAAATGGTAGATGTAAGTAGCCCATTTTTTTTTGTATGATATAAAGCAAGAGAGCTTCTGGAATCTTCTAAACATGTTTAAAGATACATCTCAAAGACACCAGCTGTTTGAAAGCAGGCAACTTCTTTACCTATCAGAGCCCGGGTTTCCTGACTGTGGTTCAAGGACAGACTGACTCTCACAGTGCTGCTATGGAGATTAAGTAAGACTTTCCATCCAAGAGTATTTTATTAAATGAAAAGTGCAACATATAAATACAAATTTTGTCAGTACTGCCCTTAGCTACAGGATTAAGAGCAACTGCTTAACATACTGTTTAACTATCTTATTACAGCAATAAATATCTTTGGAATATGGATAATAAGTGGGATATGTTTTTGCAGCATTCACAGTACCATTAGTAACCACATTTGCTGTTGATTTACTAAAGTGAAAAAAAAAATCCTAGTCAGTTTTGTTTCAAAGAAGCACTTGTGTTTTAAGCACTTGCTTGCCCTAACTGCACTGCGGAGATTTCCAGGCAGTGCATGTGCTTTCTACAGTATTGAAATAATGTGGCAGCATGTACTTCCTTCAGCCGTTTCCTTTCATTCCACACTGCCCCCAGTTATAATGTTCCTGTTGTGTGTATCTTTGATTTGAGAGAAAACATTTTCCCATTTCCATTTCATGTAAGAACTACACGGAGTTTAGGTCCATGACGGACCAGACGAGTACATTAGCCTTTCTTCTTTAGTGGCCCAGATTGAAATCTCATCTAATGTTTTCCCATTAGAAATGAGATGGCAAGATATTTTCTGGGAAGTGATTTAGGTATACTAAAACAATCTATAAGGATCTATTGATTAGAAGTAGACTTGACTCAAACTTGATTTGTGTCAAGTGAAGTACCTTGGGAGATGATGTGATTGACAGGCAATGCAGAATAGATTTGGGGCTGGAACAATTGAGTTATTGCAGCTCTATATGGGGTACCTGGGCAAAGTACTCTATGGAGAGCAAAAATTGAGAAAGAAAAATAAAAAATCTAGAGTAATGAAATACTGCACGGTTTGTGGTTTTGGTAATATACATAAATTCAAACAAGCAAACAAACAACAAAAAATATTTTACACACAGAGAGAGGAAGAAGGGAAATCCAGGGTATTTCTATGAACTTTGAAAATATTCCTATTCACACAATATGTATTGGTTGCTGTTAGGTTATTTCTAATTTTGTCAATTATAATTTTAAAATAACCTGCAGCAGATAACATTGACATTACCTCTTTACTGGTATCAAGCAAACAAAAACATTGAATCTAAATGTCCTGCATAATCTTGTAATACCTCATGGTAGAGACTAGTAAGGATAAAATAATGATTTACATAATAAGTCAAACCCCATCTAATTTTGAAAATGCAAGAATCTGTTGAAAATTTTGCATTTGTTATACCCTTTTAAACTCTACAAATTTACTTGAACTCAAATGATCATGTCAGTAATATTTAAAACAATATGATATTAAGCATATTCAGGCATATTTTGCCTGAGACAAGGTTGAAACAAATATTTCACTTTTTCATATAATAAGGAAATTATGATATGATAGCATTTTATTTATTCTGAAAATAATTCTTGATACTTGTTTGAAGAAATTTGAAACTACTCATGGTATTGAAGCAAGGAAGAAATTCAGTTATGTTAACAAATAACAAATTTGAAACAACTAGATTTAAATTAAATTTTATCTGAGCAACACAGCTTTTTGCAAAACTTTTAAATGAATAATGCTTGTATATGCAAAATACTTCCAAGGGCAGACATTCTCTAGAAAACTTAACTCTATGGCACCTAAAAATAACACAAAGAGTGATCTTTTTAGACATTATCAGTATGGCAATAAGAGAGGCAGGAGCTAGAAATTAAGATAATTGTGGAATATGCTGTTCTTTTTGAAAATCTGGTAGTAAACTATCTAGTCCTGCACTGTTCATTAGGGTAGCCACTAGCAACATGTGTCTATTTAAACTGCAACAAACTTTTTAAAGTAAAATTAAAAATTCAGTACCTCAGTTACACTGGCCACATTCCAAGTGTTCAATAGTAACATGGTAGCTACCATTTTGCACAGCTCAGGTAAAGCACATTTCTGTCATCACATGAAGTTCTATTGAACAGCACTAAATTCTACCCACCACTTGTCACGCTCCTGTGTATGGTCTAAGTCATGGGTGGAATCAAGACACATAAAGCACTTGATATTCTGTCCTTCCCAAATACTGATAAGTAGATAGCATTTCTCTTTCTCTTTAAAAGTTAATGAACACAAAATATTTCATGGCCTAAGGTGTTCCATTAAACTATGGATGTTGTGACAAAATGAGGGTTGGAAATACATATTGGGTTCAATGAAGCACTAAAATATGCCTATCAACTCTCCATTTGTCCTCTGTGTTTGGAAAGAAGTTAATGGAAAAGAGAATATTTGTTAGAGTACTTTTTACACTAATGAAACAATATTATGAAAGGAACTTCTTAATGTGTATAGAGATTAGAATGTCATTGGAACCAAATACCTGATAGAGTGGAATGGGCCTCACATTACTGGGAAAAAAGATTTTTCTCCCCAGTTCCAATATTTTGTTCTTACAAGACCTAAACTGAATGTGTTTAAATGTTCCAAGTCATCAATAATAAGATAAATCTTAGTATGTTTTGTATCTGAGAACTTGCTATCTGCGGATCTCAAAATAATATATTGCCTTGCTGTAAAACATTTTTTTTAAAGTCAGCCTGCCCAAATTTTCACTACTTTTTGCTGCTGGTCATGGTGCTAAGTGAAATAGAATGGCTTCTCAAAGAAAATTGAGAATTCTGAAACCTCAAATTTAACCATTAATATGATAACTTAAATAGAAGGCAGATTTTCTCTAAGAAAAATACAGTGGTGTTTTCCACTCTAAAAAAAGAAAAGCTGAAGCAATGGCAGCTGAAGCAATGGCTTTCCTTCCATGTAATGTATTTCCAGAAACAGGGATCATTGTATCTGAACTCTCTTGACCTTAGCCTGTTCTCTTTTGCTAAAGTCATTAAAATGATTAGAACCTCAAGGAGGGTTACGCTGTTACATTCTTTTTCTCTTTTTAACTTTCTATGAAATGAATCAAACCACTTTAAATCCTGCACACATCCTATTAATCCCGTCTAGCTCTTCTGTCTGTCTGGATGAATTTCTTCAGCAGATTCCTAGAATATGCGTTAAAAAACGTAAATCACTGGATTAAACTTGTAGAGAATGATGAAAGCTAAATTCGTGTATATACATGTGGTGGGACAAATGGACCCTTTTTTTATTTAACCTGAATGAAAGCAATAAATTTGAAACAGGTTTAACTGATGATATTGGTAATCCACAACAGACTTCATAAGTGTTTTTGAATGAACATTGGTTTTGTTCAATAATCCCTTGGATTAAAGAAGGGTTAGATAACTCAAACAA